CTGCAACCTCTGTCTCCCAGGCTCAAGCGATTCTCCTGCCTCAGCCTCCCAAGTAGCTGGGATTACAGGTTTGCGCCACCACACCTGGCTAATTTTTGTATTTTTAGTAGAGATGGGGTTTCACCTTGTTGGCCAGGCTGGTCTCGAACTCCTGACCTCAGGTGATCCACCTGCCTCGGCCTCTGAAAGTGCTGGGATTACAGGCGTGAGCCACTGCACGTGGCCAATTTACATATAACTTTCATATCCAATGTATAAAGTAAGATAAACTTGCATTTGACTTTAGTTAAGCTCTCTAGGTCTTTTGTTTTCCTTTTTGGGGACTGGGTCTCTGTTGCCCAGGCTGGAGTAAAGTGGCACAATAGCTTACTGCAGCCTCAACAATCCTGGGCTCAAGTGATCTTCCCACCTCAGCTACCCAAGTAGCTGGAACTACAAGCATGCTCCACCATGCCTGGCTCATTTTGTTTTTAATTTTTAATAGAGACAAGGTCTTTCTATGGTGCCCAGGCTTGCCTTCAACTCCTGAGTTCAAGTGATCCTCCTGCCCTGGCCTCCCAAAATGTTGGAATTACAGGCATGAGCCACTGCACCTGGCTAGTATTTTCTTTTGGCTCATTCCTGTCCTAGAAGGAGTCCCACAAGGGTCCAATCTTAGAACCAAAGGAAACAAAAATAGAGAAAAGGTTCTTAGGTCTTCAGACAGTAGACATGAAGATAAATGTAAGAAAATTTCCACTTGAATTTCTATGCCTCCCAGTACCAGGCTTTGACAAAGGTGTGTTTTTTCCCCCATCTTATTTAATTACTCAAGACCATCATGGCAAATCTGTTGAACTCAAAGTCTCGTTACCTTCTGCATATCTGCTTGATCCTTTTTCCAAGCCCACACAACTGTGATCACATAGAATCCTAAAAGGCCAGCCAGCAGTGACACCCCAACAGGATTGTTGGTCACGCGAAGGAACAGTTCAACCGTGTCTTCAACATTCACGGTCCTGGGCACGACAAAGAAGTCGCTGGCAAAGAAGGTCAGGTGGTTACAGAGACACTGTGTTCTCAGAATTGTGCTCTGTGGCCCAACCTGGAATTAGAATCAAGACGTTGATTCTAGTTGGACAGGGTGCTAAGGAAGGGACAGACATAAAACAAACACCAGCAATTTAGAGATGGAAAGAGGTGCCTGGATCTCTTATTCACCGCTGGTGATGACGTAAATTAGTATAACCAATATGGAAAGCAATTTAGCAACATCTAGTACAGCTGAAGAAGCACAAACTCTTTGAACCCTGCAATTCCAGTTCTGAGTGTATATATGTTCTAGGGGAACTGTGCACATGTGTATAAAGATATGTGAAAAGGAATGTTTTGTCACCCTTGATAATTATCAAAAATAGGAAACAACTTATATGTTCAATAACAGAACATACAAATTAACGGTACATAAGTAAGCAGAGGCAAACTGATGGAATTCTATACAGCAGTTAAAAATGAATGAATTAGCCAGGTGCGGAGGCTCACATCTGTAATTCCAGCACTTTGAGAGGCTGAGGCAGGTGGATCACCTGAGGCTAGGAGTTTGAGACCAGCCTGGACAACATGGTGAAACCCCATCTCTACTAAAAATATAAAAAATTAGCCAGGCGTGGTGATGGGCACCTGTAGTCCCAACTACTTGGGAGGCTGAGGTAGGAGAATTGCTTGAACCCGGGAGGCAGAGGTTGCAGTGAGCCGAGGCCATACCACTGCATTCCACCCTGGGTGATAGAACAAGACTGTCTCCAAAACAAATAAATAAAATTTTAAAAAATGGATGAATTAGAGGTAGATGTATCAACATGGATAAATGCTGAGTGAATAAAACAAGAGATATGTACAGTATAATGCCACTTGCACAAAGCCTAAGAAGCATGCAAAACGCTTATTTATCTATTCATTGTCAGTTTCCCTCTCCAGAATGTCAGTTCATGAGGATATTGTCTTGTTCACTGTTGTATCTCTAGTTCCTAGACTTGGGCATGGCACGTAGAAGACACTCAATAAATATTTGCTGAAAGAATGAATTCCCCCCTCAAATTCAGGCCAGTAGTTACCCTTTGGTGGAAGGGAAGGAAGGAGAGAGAGACTAGAGAGGGATACACAGAGGGTGTTTTATTATTTAAGAAAATCTGAAGCAGAGAAAAATACTAACTTTGATAAAGCTGAATGTGCATTCAATGTTTTTTATTATTCCATATGACTTTCCATATGTTAGAACATTTCTGCATGTTTAAAAATATGTCAATAGGTGATTACATGGAAGCTACCAATTCTGTGTTTGGTTTCGTGGATGAGAAGCCTCCAGTATGCTCATTATGACTACTTCTTTCCATGGCACAGGGTTAAGTCCTGGAGGCCCAAGCTAGTCCACCTTTGGAAGAACTCTTGTGCTGTACTTGGGGCAGGTCAATTCCTTTCATGGTGTCCAAGCACTTCAAAGAGCTTCAAGGAAGTGGGAAATATCCAATACCTTCTGCAATCAACAGGTGTGTGCTGAGAGAGGAGAAAAGCTCTCAAGCTACTCTCAAAGTATGGTTTGCCTAACAAGCAGCACTGGGACAGCTGGGAGCTTGTTAGAAAGGCTTGATCAGAGCTACTGCTTCAGAATCTACATTTTAACAAGCTATGTATAGATTTGCTTGATAGCCATTGTCCAGCTATGACTGCCTGAGGCTATGAATGGTGCAGATACCTTCCTAAAAATCCTCTTTCTCTCAGGCCTGTAATTCCAGCACTCTAGGAGGCCAAGGCAGGC